TTCATTCAGGGCTGTTAGGCTGCTACATTTAATTCTGCTGCAGCAGAACTCATAAAAAGAAACTTTTTTTTTTCCTCAGATGCTCTGTCTCTGGGGGTTGGGGTTTTCTTTATGAGTGTCTGTTGTGCTCTCCTGCCCAGCTAGGGGGCAGTCTAGTCACTGTTTGACTGCCGAGGCTCTGCCCTGCTTGTGTGAGGTCTGCCCTGTTGCTGCAGGCTCTGCCCTGCTGCTACGGTCTCCGCCCTGCTGCCACAGGCTACGCCCTGCGGTGGAGTCTCTCTGTTGTGGCGGGTTGCCTGGGCAACGGGAGGCTGCATCAGCAATGGGAGCGTACCTCAGTAGGGGCGGATTGCCTTGGTAATGGCAAATGCCTCTCCCACACCGAGCTGCCCCATCCTGGGTTCAGCTGTGCCTGCAGTGAAACTCTCCACCCGGAGTGTTTGGAATCGCCGTTTTGTTTGTCACACTGCCCCAGCCCAAACGCCATTTCCCTGGAATCTCCTGGCCTGGCTCACTGTCCAAGTCCCGTTCAATCAGATGGATATGCCAATCTGCCCTCTCAAGTTTTAGATTGCTGGTTCAACAGGGCACCCGGGACAGTGCGCTTTGTGCAGAGCGCTGTGGAGCACCTCTGCGCTGCAGTGCCGGCTGTCGGCTGCACCAGCCAAAACCGCTGCGCTGGCATCCCGTGTCTCTTTTATTCCTGGGAATTTCCTTGTTCTGTGGGCAACAAAGATCCGTCTGGAAATGCAGCCCTGACTCATCCTCCGCGTGTTCACCGGGAGCTTCAATCCTGGGTTGTTCTCACTGCGCCATCTTGAGTCGGTCTCCCTTCATCACACTTCTTATCCATCCAGCTTTGTTCCCTTGCTGGTGAGGAGTTGTGATCCCTTGTAGGAGGAGAGGAGCTCTGTTTTGGTTGTTTTCCTCCTTTTTGCGCTGGTTTCTTTCCATCTTTGTGGATTTATCCACCTGTAATCGTGTAGTTGCTGATTTTCCGATTGGGTCTCTGAGTGGACGTCCAGATTGTTGATGATGAAGTTATTTCTGTTTCTTATTTTTTCTTCTAAAAGTCTGGCCCCTCTGCTATAGGACTGCTGAGGTCCACTCGAGGCCCTGCTTGCCTGGGGATCACCTGCAGCGGCTGCAGAACAGTAAGGGTTGCTACCAGTTTCTTCTTCTGCTATCTTAGTCCCAGAATGATGTCTGCGAAATGTCAGTCTGATCAGTCTTTTGTGAGGTGACTCTTTGGATATACAGGGGGTCAGGGAGCTGTTTGAGGAGACAGTCTGTTCTTTATAGGAGCTCAAGTGTTGAGCTGTGAGCTCCATTGTTCATTCAGAGCTGCTAGGCAGGTATGTTTAAGTCTGCTGCAGCTGAACTCATAAACTGCCTTTCTTTTTTTTCAGGTGCTCTGTCCCAGGGAGTTAGGGCTTTATTTATGAGTGTCCGTTGGCTGCTGCCTTTTTTTTTTTTCAGGGCTGCCCTGCCCAGCAAGAAGGCAGCCTAGTCACTTTCTGCCTGTAGAGGCTTTGCTGAGCTCTGCCCAGCTGCCGTTGAGCTTCCCTGTAGTCCTGTTTATATAGGTGTGGTTAGAACTGCCTCAGCAATGCTGGCCCGCCTCTCTAATGGCGGACTTTCTCCGTTATGTGGGGTTGCCTCAGCAATGGTGGGTTGCCTCAGCAACGGCAAGCTGCCTCAGCAATGGAAGACTACCTCTGTAGGGGTGGAGTGCCTCGGTAATGGCGGGCGCCCCTCCCCCACCGAGCTGCACCACCCTGGGTTCAGCTGTGCTTGCCGTGAAACTCTCAACCACAAGTGTTTCCAATTGCTGTTTTTTATTTTTTTTTGTGGGGGTGGGACCCACCGAGCCTGATCACCTGGCTCCCTGCCTCAGAGCCTTTTTTTTTTTTAAGTTGAACAGTTGACTCTCTCCTAGGTGTTCCAGTCACCTGCTGAAAGGGCGCTGGGATCTGTGTGATTTCCTGTGCAGCGACCCACTGCACCGGCTGAAACAACAGCGCTGCCCGGGAATCTCCTGGCATGCTTAAAAGGGCAACCAGACCAGTGTATTTTGTATGGAGAGCCGCTGTGCTGCAGTGCCAGCTAAAACAGCCACGCTGGCTCAGACTACTGTGCTGGTGACCCGTAGGACTCCTCCACCTAGGAATCTCCTGGTCTGTGGGCAATAAAGATTTGTCTGGAAATGTGGCATCCACTCACCCTCTGCACTTTCACTAGGAGCTGCAATCCTGAGCTGCTCCTAAAGGGGCCATCCAATATTTTATACAGTTATTTGCTAACAAAAATATAATTTATAATTTATGAGGTTTACATTATAAGATTGTCTTCTAGTTTTAAGCATATATAGAACAATGATAATTATCTATCTAGCTATCTATCAGTTTTAAAACTTGGTGCTAGTATTAAAAGCACTCCCAACTTCCTTTACTCAGTGAAGGTATACTATTCTTTTTTGTTTGTTTTTTGGAGCTTGTCTTTTAAATCATAGATTTTTCCCCTCAACAACATATTATCTCCAGACCCTCGGCATTCTCATCCTTCTGATTCTCAGTCACCTCAAATACAGTATAGATACCTGCCCTTAAAGCCTGTCTTTGAAACTCATTCCTGTCCAACTTAGTGAAATTCCCTCCATCAAACGCTCTTTATGGTATCTTGTCATTTTAAACAACAAATATTTATAGCATGAAATAAATAAAACCTTTTTATGTCTGTGGCCCCTTTATAGTATATTTTATCCATCTATTTAACTGAAAGCAGGTGTGGAAATAATGCTTACCCAAATGAGAACAAAGAGAGACTATTGTTCTAGAGCTTGCTAGGAGTCAAGACACTGTCACTTGTGTTTGGTAGACTCAAAGCAATCAGGGGAGTGGGAAAGCTTTATAGTCAGAAAAGGGGGAAGGCTTCAGGTGTTCTCTGATTGTAGACTGTTAGCATGAGAAAGCCAGAGGCAGGCTAGCTAGAAGCAGGGCATTTTGTGTGATTGATTTGGTAAGCATGTCTAGGTTTCTCTGGTTGGTTCTGAGTTGTGGGAGAAGGGGCAAAAAAAATAGAGAAGCTGGCTACTCTTCAACATTCTGGGTTGATTGCTATAGCTAGAGGTTGAGATTGGCTTTCCCAACTGGTTGATGCAGAGGTTGCAAGTCAAAGAGTTCTATTGTCATATATGGTCTAGCTTTTGTGCATTTGTATATTCAGTCTCTCATAGGCTTCCCACTGACCACATTATTTCCTTTGCTACTCACTCTGGTGGCAGCAAAGGAAAGGTTTCTCTGGGATGAGAAATGATCAGTTTCCCCATATATCTTCCAGATAGATCACTTTTGCATTAGTATTCCTTCCTACCAGTTACTCTTCTGTAGTTCATGAAATGCCCAATCCCAATATTATTTTCTATTATCTACTAAACTCACGTGAGTTCATCAGACTTACTGGGTAACATATATATCCCACTACTTTGTTCTTCAGGGGCTAATTGTCTAGCAAGTGATATTGTTACAATAAAAATATTTCAGTACCTCCTTGTAAGTGATGTAACAGAAGTGAGGTGAAAATTCTCCTAAATTAACATAGGTGATATTTTAAGTTGCTTTTGAGATACAAATAGGCAAAGAGGAGGAGGGAAGTGATGGCTGGATAGGATACAAGAGATAGAGGTGACAGCATAGGTATGGACTAGAAATGTTAAGAGAATGGGGTATTCAGGGGTCTGAACTTCATACTGACTGAACCTCTCTTCCTCAATCTCCACTTGATTCTGACTCTCACCTTGGGCCTTATTATTCCCTAGGATTGTATTATATTGAATGCCAGCTCCCTAAGTGTCACCTACCCAATCTTTGGATAAGACAAAGCTGAGTTTATTTGCTTACAGCCATAAGGGAAAACACCACCTCAACAGTGCTTTGGCAGTGTCTCAGAACAGTAACTGCAAAGTCAGAATTTATTGAGAATTTGAAGTTTGCTAAGGCAGGTCTTCCAATGACTGAGGTGGATTGGGGGTGGGATAGAGGTTTCAATCGGATTGGATAAGGATCATGAAAAAGCAGTCCAGCATTGGTGGGAATAGCAAGATTTTTTGAGGCAAGGGATGCAGACCCATTGGACTGAAACTGTGTGTTGATGCTGACTACTGAAGAGTTGACACATCTTTCAGGTAGTACTGTAATGAGCAATCAAGTTATTTGCTTAGGCAAGAGTCTCTTGGAATAGTAAAATTATGCTAATGAAGACAATGGAATAGTGAAGTCATATTAATGTGGACAATAAGCTGGATTCTGGGGAGTAGGTTCTCAGTCACCTGTAGTATCTCAAACTCTGAAATGTTTTCTCAAATTCCAGGTGTCTCCTTCACTCACGTGTTCTCATGCCTTCTGAGTTTTTTCTTGGTCTTTACTATAACCACAGCAACTTATTCTCCTTTTCATAAGCTCCTCCTTGCTTTCCAGCCTGAGTAATCTGTTTAACCTCATGTTTACTAGTAATCCATAAAGGGAGTAAGCAAAATCTAGAATACAGTAATATATAAATGGAAAACATCAGACCTTTTTATGTTAAAAATCTAGGGTGAAGTCCATTTTTAAAAGATAATACTGTATAAATCTTAACTTTTTGTCAAAAAGAAACAAAACAATTATAGTGGAAAAATCCAAGTTATATGAATCTCAAAGTATAATAATGAAAAAATTAGATTATGTTAATGAATAACTGATTGAGCTCCCTGTAATTTTGAATCTGTATTTTTTTGGGTCAGTTTTAAACATTTTTTTATATTTTTCCACTTCTTGGTAAGGCATATTTAATTTTCTATTATGTTCTAGATTTTCTAGTGTTTTATTAAAATGCTGTGTTATAGAATTAATTTCTTTGTGGATTGAAGACAAAAATAGGCAGCTATTAATAGGTATCTGATAATATTTTATGGTATTTGTTCTTTAGAGAAATGTCAATTCCTGTATTCTTTTCCTCTTTAGGCTAATTTGCGCCAGAAAGTTACTCACTCGGTACAAACCAATCTTACTCACTGGAGAAGAGAAAATTGTTCCCAGGTGTACCCTCCAAAGAACACTAGCACCCAGTCCATGAAGGAAGACAGCACTGGAGTGCCCAGGCCTCAGATTTACTTAGCCGGTCTTCGTGGAGGAAAGAGCAAAATCGCTGATGAGGTCAAGGTGAACTTAACTAGAGCCGTTGATGAAAACTAATTAGAGACAACTTTTTAAAAGTAGATGCTGCTCAATTATGAACGATAGCAAGTACTTGAAGGCATTTTTACCTCTATAAAAATTAATTTTGTAAAGGTGGCACATTGGTTGTGTGATTGTTTATTGGGCTCCCACATTTTATCAAACTGTTTTCGGTAACACATTTTTCATTCTATTAAAGTTGAAAAATAAAACTGTCCATTTATCTTTTGTTAGAAAAAAGTTTGTCAACGTTAAGATTGAAATTATGACATTTAGATATAAATATATTGTAAGATTATTACTGGAATAGAAGTCTATTTCTAAAACCATATTTAATGTTAAACATTACAAACTTAAAACCTAATCAATATTTTCAGCTTTATTAGCTATTAAATATCAACATAGATTAAATTGATATTTAATAAAACCTCACTAATTTTGAATAATTAGAGCAGAGGTCCACATGATATTTGTGTTTTTCTCTCTTTTTTTTTTTTTTGAGACAGGGTCTTGCTCTGTCACCTAGGCTGGAATACAGTGGTATAATCACAGCTCACCACAGCCTCAACCTCCTGGGCTAAAGCAGTCCTCCTACCTCAGCCTGCTAAATAGCTGGGACCACAGGCGTGTGTTACCACACCTGACTAATTTTTAAAACAATTTTCTGTAGAGACAAGGTTTCACCCTGTTGCCATGGTGAGTCTTGAACTCCTGGGCTCAAGTGATCTTTTTGCCTCGGCCTCCCACAGTGCTGGGATTATAGGTATGAGCCAGAGTGCCCACCTTACATGATTAGAAATTTGACATAAAATTTATATTTCTGGCCCTTCAAAAAATAAGAAATCAGAATATCTGCTTTGTTAGCAGATATTCTTCTTTTAAGATTTCTTCTTTTATGAAGGGCCAGAAGTAGTAGCTTTGCCCATTCACAAGGCAGGCACTTCTGATCTTCCATTGTCTGATCCAGTTCCTGCTGCCTTTTGGGCCTCCCACATCACTCCTTTGTCTTATTTGCTTGACTGCATAGGCGGCTATGTTTAAAGCTCCCATGAATTGCTGATAGCCATATTTTAGAGCTGTGGTTTTGTTACTCTGTTATGTACTCCTAATACCAATTCATGAATAATAAAGCTTCTAGGAGGGGCTATTCAACTTGCTTTAGTAGCTAGGAGGTCATTTGTATTTGGCACATTTTTTCTGCTCTGGTGACTTTTACTAAGGCATTTGTATAATTTGGTTTCTATGTAGCTTAAATGTTTTTGTTTGTTTGTTTTTGATATGGAGTCTTGCTCTGTTGCTGCCCAGGCTGGAGTGCAGTGGTGTGATCTTGGCTCACTACAATCTCCGTCTCCTGGATTAAAGTGATTCTCCTGCCTCAGCCTCCCAAGTAGCTGGGATTATAGGCATGCACCACCACACCCAGCCAATTTTTGCGTTTTTAGTAGAGATGGGGTTTTGTGATGTTGGCCAGGCTTATCTTGAACTTCTGACCTCAACTGATCTGCCCACCTTGGCCTCCCAAAGTGCTGGGATTACAGATGTGAGCCACTGTGCCCAGCTGCTTAAATGTTATTTATACTATGAATATGCTTTGAAATTCATTTTCTGCATGTAAACTTCAAAAAACCCTACTTTTAGGTTTTCTTGATTTTCATACCTGTGATTTACAAATGATATTTAAGATAGACTGGCTGGCTGTTAAGGCAGGGCCCGCAGAAGTGGAGTGATACTAAAATTTACAAATTCAGGAATGTCATTTTATCTGTTCCGTTAACCCTCATTTGATTCTACAAGATTCCTAAACACAGAAAGGAATGGCTGTAAGCTGCAATATGGGCTTATCAAGTTAAGGTTGGAAGTAGAATGGCCAAGTGAATACAAATACCAGATCCAGTTTGAAAAGACAATCTTCTTTCATTTTTTTTCTTTTTCCTTTTTTTTTTCCCTGCCAAGAGGTCATAATTTTTTTTTATTGTACTTTAATTTCTGGTTTATATGTGCAGAAAGTGCAGCTTTGTTACATAGGTATACACGTGCCTTGGTGGTTTGCTGCATCCATCCCCACCCCCGTCATCTACATTAGGTATTTCTACTAATGTTATCCCTCCTCAATCCACCTACTTTCTGCTATCCCTCCCCTAGCCCCCCAACCCCCAGCAGGCCTGGGTGTGTGATGTTCCCCTCCCTGTGTCCTTATGTTCTCGTTGTTCAACACCCACTTATGAGTGAGAACATGTGGTGTTTGGTTTTCTGTTTGTGTGTCAGTTTGCTGAGAATGATAGTTTCCAGCTTCATCCATGTCCCTGGAAAGGACATGAACTCATCCTTTTTTTATGACTACATTTCATGGTGTAAATGTGCCACATTTTCCTTATCCCATCTACCTTTGATGGGCATTTGGATTGGTTCCAAGTCTTTGCTATTGTAAACATTGCCACAGTAAACATACGTGTGCATGTGTCTTTATAATAGAAGGTTTTATAATCCTTTGGGTATATACCCAGTAATGGGATTGCTGAGTCAAATGGTATTTCTAGATCCTTGAGGAACCTCCACACCACTGTCTTCCACAATGGTTGAACTAATTTACACTCCTACCAACAGTGTAAAAGCATTCCTATTTCTCCACATCCTCTTCAGCATCTGTTGTCTCCTGATTTTTTATGTTAATTTTTTTGCTTTTTTATCAATCAATTTTATTAACATGGGGTTCTAAGTAGATTTCAAAATAAAGACCATTTATGCAACTGGACCCTTTTAATGTTTACAATTTAATAAATCTCTTGATTGCAGACATGTATGGCTGTTTGGTAGTATTCAGTAACATTATAGTAATGGCAGTTTTTCCAATTCGTGTGTAGTCCTCAATAATTGTATATTAAATTGCTGTCAAACCAGTAAAACTGCATTTATACATCCATCATTTTCAGGATTGTTCATAACCTGGGCATACTTTCCCCAAATAACTTTGCCTTCTTGTGTCACAGGGCCCAATTTGCTCACATTTACCCCAATGACAGTACCTTTGGTAATAACACCCAAAGTTGTATACAGTGGGGATGACGGACTCTTTACACCAAGTAGTGGTAGGCAAAAGGTGACTTTCAGTTCAGGATGTGTCACATGGGCTTTCTTGAAACGCAAGCCCATTGGCTTGATGAATCTTTCATATTTAGGTGGTTTTCTTGTAAAGCCATCTCCAACAAAGCAGACTTTAGTAACCATCCTCTTCCATGCCGTCTTCTTTCTCTTTCCTGTTTGAATAACTTTTGATACTTCTGTTTCTCCCTGGGCACAGACTTTAGGCAAAGGGACTTCCCATTTTCCCACTGTCTCTTTTCTGTTTAATCATATTGGAAAGCACTTTAGCTCGAGATTGTCCCTCTCTGTCCAGTAGAGAGGCAGGTCCTGCTCCCTGTGGAGTCTTTTCATCATTCTTTTGTTTGGTGTTTCTCTTTTCAAGCATCTTGATAGTCTTTTTTCATTTATATTTCCTCAGCGTGGTGCTGCTTATGGTAAAGCTTAGCCTTCAGACCATTTTCTTTACCTTCTTTGAACGTTCATGAGCCTCTCGACTTGCCTTCTTTCTCTTTTTCTCATGGTAATCCAGATGGTATCCATAGGATTTATGGTGTAATTCAGTATATTCATTCTGTGGCATGGTGACGGCTGCAGAGCCACCACAAGCGGACCCTGGGGTGCGAAAACACTCTTAATTTTCGGGTCTCAGAGACCCACGAGCCGACACCACGCAGGCCGTGACAGGAAAGCTGTTGTCTCCTGATTTTTTAATGATCGCCATTCTAACTGGCATGAGATGGTATCTCAATGTGGTTATGATTTGCATTTCTCTAATGACCGGTGATGATGAGCTTTTTTTCATATATTTGTTGGCTGCATAAATGTCTTCTTTTAAAAGCCTCTGTTCATATCCTTCACTCACTTTTTGATGGGGTTGTTTTTTTCTTGTGAATTTATTTAAGTTCTGAAAAGCCAATCTTAATATCAGAAAGTCATCTGGTAAGTACCACAGAATAAAGAGCTACATCCAATGGAAAACTCATCCTCTCCCTGGACCTCCACCATTTATTCAAGCCCCATCCTTTTGAAGATTTCCAACTTAACGCTGAATTGAATGTCTGATGGTAACCCCCTATTTCAGCAGGTTACGGATCAAAATGTCTTTCTCTGCCAAACTTGTTTCTTTCTCTTTATTTTCTTCTATGGTCAGAGGCATTACCGCCTTACTCAGTAGCATAATGTCTTCCTCCCTCTACATTTAACTAGCCTTCAAGCCCTGTTCGTTTGACTTGAATTGTCATGGAGATTCATGTCTTCCTGTTCTTACCTTCCCTACAGGACTTTGTCTTACTGCCTGGGTCACTGCTGCCTCCATTTTTTTTTTTTTTTTTTGGGAGGAAGGAAGAAAGGGATGAAGGAAGGAAGAAAGGGAGGAAGGGGGGAGGGAGGGAAGGAAATCAAGCAATGAGAGAGACATTGCTGACCTGGATCTAGAGGTTTACAAGTTGATTTCTTTTCTTTTGAGAGAAGGAAAGAAAAAAAATGAGTAATGGAGAGGAAGAAAGAGGAAGAGAAAGAGAAAGGGTGAACGGAAATATTGCTTTATTCTGAAAAAAAAATGGGTATTAATAATGGCCAATCAATGTTTCATTTAAACCTATGAGTAGGTGTGATGTGGTATTGACAAGAATGTATATTTTGTGTATTTGAAGTGGAGAGCTCAATAAATATTTATTAAGTTTACTTGTTCCATATCTGAGTTCGAGTCCTTGATATCCTTATTAATTTTCTGTCTCATTGAGTCTAAGTCTCTATGTATCTGAGTGTTAGGATCGTTAGCTCTTGTTGTTGCATTGATCCTTTTACCACTATATCTTTGTTGCTTTAAAATCTATTTTATCTGATACGAGAATCGCAACTCCTGCTTTTTATTTATTTATTTATTTTTGCTCTCCATTTGGTTGGTGAATCTTTCTCCATTCTTTTGTTTTGAGTCTTTGTGTATCCTTGCATGTGAAACAGGTCAGGATGTAACATGCCGTTGGGTTTTGGCTGTGTCTTTTGATTGGGGGATTTAGTCAATTTATATTTAGGGTTACTGCCATTTGATGTTAACTGACTGTTTGATCCATTCATTGATGTAAATTCTTCTTTATGTTGGTGCTCTTTACTTTTTGGTATATTTTTAGAAAGGCTAATACTGGTTGT